CATGGCATCAGCAGAGTGGTACAGCCTATGGTACCCCACGCTTGGAGGTGACCACAGCCAAGGCTGGGCACAGGATAGCAGAGCTGGGGCAGGAGGAGGCGGCTTTGTGGCCATTGTGCACTGCCCTTACCCCTCACAATGGCTTTGAGGTGGTCGGGCTTCAGCTTCCTTGCTTGGGTTGCATCAGCGAGAGCAGAGCGGTAGTTACCTGCGGGCAAAGGAAAGCAGCTCAGAAGCCTGGATTGCACATTTCAGGTACAACTGGGTCCCACAGGCGGCAAAACACGAGAACTGCGTCACCGGCCCGTTCGGCAAAGGAGGGACAGCGGGCGGGGGCTCACCCAGGCGGCAGTGCGCGGCCGCCCTGTTGGACAGCAGCACGGCTCGTAGTTCCACGTCCCCGAAGCGCTGCCGCAGCCCCTCGCTGTAGGCCCGCACGGCCCTGCCGTAGTCCTTCTCCTCGAAGTACGCGTTCCCTTCGTTCTTGTACATGGCGGCTAGCTCTGCGGGGCGGGGAGGCGCGGCGTGAGATGGGCTGCGCGGCTCCGGTAGAACCCGCCCTCAGGGTTGTGGGTGCACCCGCCGCCCCGCCGCCCACCTGCGGGCTCCTTCTCCTCGTCGAACAGGAGGGACTGCAGGCAGGCCAGGGCGGGCTGCCGCGACGCGTCGATCTCGGCAGGGCAGCTCTTCATAAACATGGGGATGGCCTCCAGCTCCTGCGGGCACACCGCGTCAGCCCGCACCGCCGGCCGTAACGCCCGCCCGGCCCCGTCGCCGCCTCACCTGCTCCCACGTGTCAGGATGGAAGCCGTTCCGGTACCGCGGCACCGCATCGCCGCTCTCCCCGGCGTCCGCCATGCTGCTACCAGCCCGTCCGCTCTGCTACTTCCGGCCCCGTGTCGCCCCCTTCCGGCCCACACCCCACCCCCTTCCGGCTCCGCGCCGCCATTTTGCCCGCTGTGGGGAGCGGGGCGCCCGTGCGTGCGGCAATAGGGATGGGGCTGCAAATGGCTGCCCTCGTCCTACAGGTGTTCAAAATCGCGGGGTTGCCGCAGAGGAACGGGGTTGGTGGGCTGCGGACCTGCTGTCTGTTCCAACCTTAACTGCTCTATGATGAACCACGAGGACAGTCCCACAGGGAACGTAGGCTGACCCGGCGCGTCCCCGCGCCGCAGCACTGCTGTTAAGCAGCTCCTAAACAACGAACCGCGCTGTTCAGGCCCACTCCGCGCTGCAAAGATAAGATTTGGAGGCGGGGATTTCAAGGGAGTTGCACTTTACTCAGTAACTCAATGACACCTTCCTTGGTGAGGTACAAAACCGTGCCAGAGCTCTGATCCCAAACCTCAAAGACCGGGGGGTCCTCGCAAGCTCTCCTCCCGGCTATCACCACATAAGGGTACCCCAGCTTGTTGGCATCTTTCAGCCTTTTACCAATTGTCATCTGCGTCCTATCATCCAGCACCACATCGCCCACCAGGCCAGGCAGAGCTTCAGCCACATCATCATAGAGCTGCTCCAGCACCACAGCTCCCTGCTCCTCCTTGCTGCCTTTCTTGGGGGGGATGAAGCACGCCTGGTAGGGTGCAATGAGGCTTGGCCAGCGGATGCTGTCCTCTGTAGACAGCACCTCAATGGATGCTGCCAGGATGCGAGTGACACCCAGACCGTAGCAGCCCATTTCTGCTAGCTGGAGCTTGTTCTCAGGGGTGTAGAAGATGGCGTTGTGGACAGAGGAATACTTGGTGCCCAGATAAAATGTGTGCCCCACTTCGATCCCTCTGCTCTGGGTGAGTTTTTCTCCACATGTCGGGCACGCTGTTTGCTCTTCATCCATCATCTCCACGTTAGCTGCGAAATGCCCAGCAGGGCACAGCACCAACCTGTCCTCGCCGATGTCAGCTGGCAGCTGGAACTCATGGGATGCAGTGCCACCAATGGTGCCAGTGGCTGCCCGCACTTGGACGCAGCGCAGGCCCAGGCGCTTGAAGAGGCCGCAGTAGGCTCTGCACACCAGCTCATAGGTGTGACGTGCTGCCTCCTCTGAGGCATCAAAGGTGTACATGTCCTTCATGTAGAACTCCCTGCTACGCAGCAAGCCAAGGCGGGGCTTGGGCTCATCCCGGAACTTTCTGGTCACCTGGTAGAGGCGCAGTGGGAGCTGCCTGTAGGACAGGTTGCTATGTGCGGCCACCAGTTCAGTGACAGCTTCCTCATGCGTGGGGCCCAGGCAGTACTCCTTGCCGTGCCGGTCAGCCAAGCGGAACAGCTCCGGCCCCATCTGCTCCCAGCGCCCGCTGGCACGCCACAGCTCAGCAGAGCTCAGGCTGGGCATGTTCACCTTCTGCCCGCCGATGTTCCGCATGGCGCCGTCGATCAGGCGGATCAGCTTCTCCATGGAACGCATGGCAGGTGGCAGGAGGTGGTAGCAGCCGGGGCTGGCGGGGTGGATGAGGCCACCCTGCAGCATCAGCCGGTGGCTGCGGCAGCTCAGCTCCGCCGCCTGGCCCTCGCATCCTGCCACACCACCCACCTGCAGGTTCAGAGGCTGGAAGAGCTGCGAGAGCAATAGGCGGGCATGAGCTGAAGCGTCGTGCTGGAAACTGCGGGCCTGCAGTTGCGGTCCTGCTGCTGCTCTGAGCACAGGGAGCCCCATCCGCAGCAAGCCCAGCATCCCGCCTGTAGGGAGGAAGCAGCAAAACAAGGAGTTACACGCAAAGTGCTGCAGCTCAGAGTGCTGGTGGCAACAAAAAGGGTGCACCGCTGCCACGTGCTGCTTCGTGCTGGGTGGCACTGCAGCCCCAGCACCGATTCTTACCAGCCCCCAGGCTGGGCAGCACCTGCTTGCAGGTACTGCACCCCACGTGAACACAGGCGCCGCGTGAGCGCGCGCGGACACGCGCTCTGCACATGCACGCGCGCAATCCGCGGCCCAGCCGCGCGCGCCGGCAGAGCCCGCACCGTCCGCACCGCCCAAGTCACGTGATACACCGCACCGTCTTCCTTCCCGGAAGCAGAACGTGCCGCTGACTCTATGGCTGCTCATCAGCGCCGCCTGCTGTGCGGAGGCCGCGCCGCAGGCTGTGCGGTTGGGGTCCTGCTGCAGGGCTGGGGGCCGATGGCTGTCTGTGGGCAGCCGCCGTCAAGCGAGAAGCCCGCCTGCACTGTGCCTGCGTTTGTACTCGGGCACGGAGAAGCCCCTTCACGCTGCTGTGGGCCTCTTCTGTCAGGATCTGGTCTCTGTCCAACCTCAGCTCACGCTCTGCAAGACCATGGGAGCTGGAGGCCGGAGCTGGAGCTGGAGGATGCACCGTCTCCAAAGAGCACTTCGCCAGGGGAGATGTCACTTTGCTGAGCCTGGTTTTATGGGGGCTTAAGTTATCCCTTTTTAAATATAAAGAAGTAAGAATAAGCTTTTCTTTTTATTTAAAAACGAGATTTGGGGAAATCTTCATAATTCTTCTGTGATGAGGAACATGCACTAATGTGCACTGCGATTTATATGAGGAAATGGGAAAGATAAACAGATTAAAGGGCTCACTGTTGATGCTTCTGAGTCAGGAGCTCTGCAGCCGCTAAAAGCATGAACTGCAAGCACTGCCCAGAGGGACCCAGGCAAGCTGCTCCACAGCTCTGAGCCAGGGTCTGGCTGCAGGTTTCTGGCTCCAGGATGGTGCTTCCCTCCCAGAACGCCTGCACTCTTATCTCGGTGATGGTTTCCTTGGCATGCTCCCTGCTGCAATCCAGTAGCAGTGCACACACTGGGATACACAGCAGTTGAGCTGCAGGTCCTGCAGGACGCCCTGTGCTGTGGTGTGCAGGTCCTGCTGCAGGGCAGGAAAATGGTCCTGCCCTGTTTCCATCGCCTGCTGGAGCTGCTGAAGCAAAATGTGTTTCTGTCAATGACTTACTGCCTGCTGAGCAGATCAAAGAGACAAAACATCTTGGATTGATTTGCAGGGCAGTGTTTTAAGTGGGAGGGTTTGAGGCTATACAAGAGACAAGATCTGCAGGGAAAGCTGATATCTCTCATTAAACCAACAGACAGTGCTGGATGAGGAGCTTGGAGGCTCGGTGCCTGGGAGCCTGTCTGCACTCTTTTATCTTTTCCAGCTGTGCTGAGAGGGATCAAAATGAGGTTTCAGCCCTCGCCCAGTCACACTGGCTACATCCTGGCTGACCCTGGCCATGATCTTACACAGCTGGGAGGGTCCTTGAGTAGTGCTGCCTTGCACATCTGTCTGGCTGAACTTCCTGAGTGCTTCCATTCCTTCCTGTGATGCTTCTGTAATTTACAACTCCAGGGTGATGTTTTTATGTCCAATAAAATGGTAATTGCAGGGCTCGTCCTAGAACCTCCTGTGCTCCTTGGGATTGCTCCTCCAGGGGGAAGAGGTGGCATAGGCTGCCACCATCACAGAGCAGCTGGGAAACAGCCGCCAGCTCTGCGTGTCTGCAGATCTGAATGTGTGTCAGACAGCAGAACAGCCCTGAGGTGAAGCTTTAAAAACTGCTGCTTCTTTTATGCTGCTTCAACTGCTTTTTGGGTCACAGCCTGTGATGCTGGGGCTGGTCAGGCACTGATTTTGGCCATGTTGCTGGCTTGTGAGATAAACTTTAGTATCTAACAAATCTCTATGTGTTCAATACAACCCCTTGGAGGTGCCGTGTGGGGACACCATCCTTTGCACCCTTACAGTGCTGGAGCAGAACCGAGTCATGCTTCACATGGTAATGTGTGTGCCAGGAAGGGGACACTGCATCACTGGTGGGAGTCAAGCGTGGGCTGTGCTCAGTGAAACTGCACTTGCTTTGCCAGCATGCATGGCTCAGAGAGATTGAGGAATCCTGCAGTGAGGACTGCAGGGCTTGGGGCAGCCAGGCTGGAGCCCCCAGTATAGCTACAGCACCTCAGAATGGGTGGCAAGTGACAATGGTGAGGGCTGCCATGGTGAAGGATGTCACAGCAGCCCTGGTGACCAGAGCCACCAGTGTGGAACATGGGCAGCCAGGTGAGGCCACCAACTGGGCTCACAGTGGAGAGAGCAGGAATTCCTGATGTAGCTCCTGAATTGTCATGCCTACTTTGCACAGCAGTCAGAGGCACCCACTGGGGAGCACCCTAGAGTGTCTATGTGGGATGTGGGCTCGTGCTCTGGGGAGCCACTTCCCACCCATCAGCAAAACCCTTTATTAGTGCTTTAATCTGGGATGAGTGACAGAGACAGCATGTGAAGCAGTGGCGTATGGACAGTTGTGCTCTGGCTCTGCCTTGCAGGGGACAGCACTGGCCTCTGGCTGGGCCAGAGCAGAGGCAGGATCCCGGGCAATTCAACTGCCCCATTTCCAGCTCAAGGTGATGCTGAAGAAACGCAAACAGCAGGTAAGAGACAGATTTGATCCACCCTCCTTGTCCTGGCATCCAAGAAGCATTGGCAGTGTTGCCTTTGATGCTCAGCCTATCCTTACCATATTTTTCCTTCTGCAGCAAGAGAGGCTGGGCCCAGGAACGTACAACATCAGGGATTTTCTGCAGGAGACACAGCCTTCGAGCCTGAGGGGCATCTGTGACACAAGGGAGCAGAGGTTCAGGGAAAGCCAGCGGGTACATTGCAGCCTGACTTGGGAGCTGCTGGCATCCCTGTGAGCATTTTCCCTGTCAGCAGAGCTGACTGGGGGCTGCCCATCATGTCCCATCTCTCCTGCAGGACTGCTTTCCTGGGCCTGGCACCTACGGCCCCCAGGGGAACCCGTACGCTCTCCTGGAGGAGAGGGACAAGCGCTCTCCCAGCACACGAGGGCTGATGGACAGCAGGACAGAGAAATGTGTCTTCCAAACAGCCACGGCATGTCCTGCTCTTTGCCCTGGGATTGTGGTGTGTGCCCCTGGAGTGGCTGTGTTTCTCTGCTGGAGGTTTTCCTGCCACTTTCCCTCTGTGCCTGCAGGGCAGTGGTTTGGGACCTGGCACCTATTCCCCATGGAGCAGCACTGAGGAGCAGCTGCGACAGGCAGGCAGGCGCAACCCCCGCCAGGTCTCCTCGAGGGACAAGCTGAAGCCTGCAGGTGGCCGGCGGCGCAATGGGGAGGTGTGTAACCTGGACTTGGAGCTTTCAGTAAGCTGTGGCATCACCACCACAAACGTGTAAGATGGACAGCTGCTTTATGTCGCACCTCAAATCTTGAGTTTTGCTTTTTGGCTTTCTTGGATCTTAGCAGCCTGGTAAGACAAATCGTTGCAGCAGGAGAGCATGCCTGTGAACACTGAAAGGCTCAGTTCTCACAGTAAAGGGGTGTTTGGGGTGGCTGGAATGACCTCCAGCAGCTGAGCCTCATGCTGCTCCTGTGGCCCAGCAGGGGGAAGGCACTGAGCTGCACGCTGGCACTGCCAAGGGGTTCCTGGATGAGCTGATGTCAAAGGAGAACAAGAAGAAAGGCTGCTTCAGCACACTGCCACGGAACCCAGGCTGCCCCACAGAGAGGATCTTCTGGGCCACACTCAGTCAGTGCCCGAGGGATGCGGTCAGTGGCAGTGGGGTGTTTCATTTCCATCCTGCCCAGGCTGCTGGGCTCACGTGGTGGTGTTGGGTGCCGGGCAGTGCTGTGGGGCCGCTCTTCTGGAGAGCAGATGGAAGGGTAAAAAATTTCCTTCTGTACAGTATGCGGTGGGGCCAGGCTCGTACGATCCAAAGCCCATTGAGAGATCAGCAGAATTCAACCAGCCCCCGTTCTGGTCATCTGCCAAGAGGTTTGACAGAAAGTCTGAACGCCTCTTCATGGGGAATGAGGTGAGTGAGTACAGGGCAGCCAGAGAGGGACACAGGAGCCATCAGACTCCAAGCTTGCTCTGTCACTGTCTCTGACGAGTTGCTGGCACCCAGTGAGAGGACAAATGCCTTCCTGCAGCTGTGGGCACCCAGTGCAGAGCAGGCCCTGAGATGGGCAGCGTGAGCTGGGCTGATGCTGAGCAGAGGGACAGGAGCTCAGCAGCAGCCACGTCACCTCTGCCCTTCTCAGTGCATGCTCAGACAACGCTTCCTAGAAGTTTTGCTCTGCATCAACTGTAGGCAAGGGGATGCATTTCATGGATGAGGACAGCTAGATTACCTGCTGGTGCTAGGAGCTCCTCGTATCCTCCCAGAAAGTCATATTCTCCTACTTAAAAGCCAGTTTTTTTTTTCTCTAGCAGCATCAGCAGCACACTGAAGAGCCAGTGCAGGTATGAGCCCTTCCCCTAGTATCCCTTCCTAGAGTTGTATTCAGCTTTGCAGCTTCCCCACAGAGAACCAGAACAAAGGCTGAAGGGCTCAAAGCAGCTGGAGAAAGCTGTAGTCTCAAATAGTCCATCTTGGCTAGGAATGAGCAGCAGATTATATCCCAGAGGCAAGGTTGCGATAAAGCAGCCCTTGAACTAGCAGTAGGCAACTAGGGAGTGCATTCGAGCCAGCAGAGCTAATCAGACCCCTCTTCTCAGTGCTGTGAGATGAGAGGAGCTGCTTGTGGAGAGGACTGACTGGGCTAACACCACACAACATGCCTCCTCCTCCCTCCCCTGCAATGCAGACCTTCTTTGATTAACATATTCCACGTATTGTTGTTTTTTGCAATTGGAAACATACAGCTACAGCCCAATGTTGTCCCAGTGTCAACAGCCAAGCTGCCTCTGCAGCGATGGGAAACAACACGCGACCTTCTCTTTCCAGAATGCTGTGGGTGTGGGCCGCTATAATGTCACCAGGCCCGAAAAATACCCTCGGAAGATCAGATACCAGTCCCTGTACCAGAGTGACACGCAGCGGTACCTGAGTAACTTGAAGCAGGATGCCTACCTGCTGTAAGTGGCATATAACAGGGGCTAGAAGCACTTTCACACCAGCTTGCAGGAAAACCCTGTATCTTGAGCAACTCTGGTGAGGCTGAGTATGTTACTGATAGTTTGCAACTGATGTGAGGCTAAATAGCAGAAGGGATGATTGTGGAGTTGCAAGTGCTGGAATGGGACTGAGCAACGCTTGCTGGCCTCTGAGCAGTGTCCCTCTGTGAATGGTAAGTTAATCGTCTGTGAAGAAGCGAGCAGCCCTTAATGCTTCCCTCTGTGTAAGGGCAGCAGGAGGGTTAAGATGCTGCTGGCTGCCCAGGATTCTAAAGGTATGAAGGTGGTCGTTCTTCTACTTTGTGAAATGCAGAGTCTGTGTGAAGAGGAGGTGCAGACAAATAGCGCCTGTCTGAGTTAGAGGAGGCAGCCTGGGGAAGAACCTGACGGTGGATGGGGCTCTCTCAGCTCATTCCCTGTGCTGGCACTGATTTGATCAATGACCTCAAACAAAAATTGCGTTCTCAGGCCGTGCCTTGGTTTACCCGTTTGGAGAAGGAAGATAACAAGGCTCAGTTCCATTGCAAAGGGCTTTGAAATCGCTAGGGGGAAAACCCTGTGAAGTAGTTGGGAACTGTACTAATGAGAGACCTCAGGGCAATCCTCCGCTTTCACCTTTGCTCGTGGCCAAGATTAGCAAACTGCTGTGGTGGTACTATGGCTGACAGCTCTGCAAAAGCTGTCTTGATCTCCAGAGAGTTGTTAGAAATCCATTTCAGCTGAATACAACGTGGCAGCTTTCAGTGGGGCAGCTACGAGTTAGCTATCCTATGATGAAGGAGAAGGCATAATGAAATCTAGCTTTCAATATCGCTGGCTTTGTTAATTTTGTAGTTCCACTAGGAATAGAAAAAAACCTGAACAGTGAGCAGGATGTTCAAATGCACCGAATTGCTCTATGATCAAATAGCACTCGCTCCAAAATCACTTTTCAAGCTACAGCTTTACTTTCAAGGGAATAGCCAGGCTTTTAAGAGCTCTGTTCACCTCCATGCTCGTTAAGACTAATGAGATTAATCCAGCCAATAATTAGAGCTCACTGAATCACATCCTCTTTTCACAGCGAGCGGCTAAAGCCTGCTGCGAAAAACAAATGGAGTCATTTGATTTCTGCTCCACGTTGTCCAGATACCTGTGAAGAAAGCACTGCTGTTTTCCAAATGTAAGATGGTGCTGGAAAGCCTGAATTGGCGAATAAACCACAGACGGCTGACGAGATGGTGTAATGTGAATACTTGCAGTGTGCTGACATGCAAGAGACAGGAAACAAGTCTTGTTCTGTGGTAATAAAACACCCTTCAGACATTCATCAGTCCAACCTGCCTGCTGACTAATTCATTATTTTCACCTTGGCCTTTATGAAAATGACACAGTGGAGGAGAGGATGTCAGATACAGATACACTGACCTCAGGTAGGTCTGCTGGCACGCAGCACTCATTCAATATTAAGCATTTCCTTCCCCATCAGCTTGCACTACTCATAGAACGTGCAGCTCTCTATCTGTTCTGTGGTTGGTGGCAGTTATCGTGACAAGCAGTGAATGCCCCAAGGTCCACCACAGCTACTTGAAAGGAGAGCTGGTTCTGAGTAAGCAGCACCATGGCAGCTGGGAGAGGTTTGGGAACTGTCTGTGTACCTGTCCTGCCATCCTGGAGCAGTTATGTGTGAGGATCTTCATTACAAGCTATAGCACACAGCTTCACTTGAATTAACAATTCAAATACTTACAAGCAGCTGGAGGGCATTCGGGGGAATTTAGTGTCATCATTCCAAATTTTGTAGCATATTAAGGCCTAGAGGCAATGAAGAAAGTGAAATGAGCAGAGAGCTCTATCAGCTGTAACAAAGGATGGCCATAAAACCATACCACGAGTATGCTGGTTCACTTCACGTTAACCTTTACAAAGGCTCACACCAGTGTTTAGATGGACTGGAATAATTAAATTTAGGTGTAATTACACGTTAGTTGTGGCTGATTAGGTATGCTAATTAATCTGCAATTACCCTTTGGTGGGAGAGATAATTGAACACAGGTAAAACTGTGGTAATTTAAAGAAATAGCGATTATTGTAATAGAAAGGCAAGCAAAGGAAAAGAAGGTCTCTGAAGGGAGCGTTGGAAGAAGATGTAAAAGCTGTGACCAAGCTGCAGGAGGGCTGGAATGCCTCCCTCCAAGCTTACAGAGTTCCTGTAAGAGTACTTCTCAAAGAAACTGAAGATGGGGGCGTGAAACTCTTCAGGCCGAAGAGGGCACTGCATCTTCATCCTCTCTTCTGTGGTTGGTCATTCAAACCAGGGAATAGTTTTAACAGCAAGGAGAACTGAGATAGGAGCTAAAGCAGTTGATGTGGATAGATAAATTCAAAATGTAGTTTTGCTCTCATGGGCCAGAAAGTCACAGGGAAACAGTGAAGTGAAGGGAAAAATCAGAATAACTGGCATTATGAGGTTCTTAATGAGGCATAACGGAAGGGTAAAGGCTCAGCTATAAGGCATATCATGGGGCAGAGATAAGAGTAGACTCATGGCCTTCAATGGCATTTCCTTCAAAGCTGTTTGCAGAGTTAGACACCTCATTTAACATCACTGCAACGCCTCTGGCCTTTGATCAAGGCAGCAGCTTTTCTCACTAATTGCTGACCACTTGTGACAGTGCAACAGACATGAGAAAGGCTAAACAACGCCATTAAAAATAAGGTATCATTTGTTAAAAGATGCCACTTTGAGCAGTACACCGGCTATATTTTTATTTTAAACAGCCCATACAGCCAAAAAATAAGACCAACAGCAATTCTGCTTGTGCGTGTGTGTGACTGGTGTACAGTGACAGTACCAGACCACATCATACCAAGTTTGCTCATAAATTAACGAGTGAAAAATCAAATTCAGTGCATACCCAAAGATCATCAACATGTGAGAGAAACACAGCTTGAGTAAAAGTATTTGCATATTCCTCTAGCTTTTTTAGCACTGCCCCTTAAAAACGGACTCAACCGATCCTTGCTCTGCGCAGATCATCTTGCAAGCACCGGGCTAAATCATAGCTTTGCCACAGGAATAAGGGAACTGCTCATGTGCTGCTTCCCTCGCAGGGGTGGGAAGACAAATTCCCACTCTGAGAATCAGTGCTTGCTTTCCTGTGTGCCACGAGGCCTGGAATGGATCACCGACACAGCCCTACCTCTCACCTGCTCTCGTATCTGTATGGGCAGCCCATGGGCTGGGCAGCATTACATGCACCCTGCAGTGGCTGTGTCTCCCCTTGGCAGGCTGCTCCTGCCACCAGTTCCCTGCGCAGGACTGTAAGGAGCACCTTATTTGCACACCATTTGCCCAGCATGCATCACTGAGAACAGGCCAAGCTTATTCTTGTCACTGTTTTATCATTGGTTTCATCTGGATCGTAAGCATCCATCTATCAATAAATAACATCATTGGTTTAGCACTCATAAAAAAATCACAAAGCTTCTCACTGCAAGCCATTTAAAGTGTTTTCTGTGTTACCCCATAAGTAGCCCTCAATAAATGACTCTTTCCCCTCAAGCTCAGTAATGTTCAGAGTAACAATCTGCCACACTGCTTGGATGAGACATGGGCTTGGTGTGGAATCACGTCTCTGGCTACAGAGTCAAAACATTCCCACACTTCTACGCTTGACTGCATGAAGTGTGTGACTGTGCTGTGCACCAGAAGAGGGAACTGAACAGTATTTACTATTGATCTCCTCTCCAGGTGACTGAAACAGTCCTTTTTACAAAGCCTATCAATCTAATCCAGGTAAACTGAAAAGCAAAAATGCCTCTCGAGCGAGAACTGAAGCCTGAGCATACCAAGCACCCAAAACAAGGGCTCTTCCTATCCATAGCCACTTGCTCTGGCAAACCTTGTGAAAATAAAGCCTTAACTTGTGAGGGCACGCTTCCTTTTCCTGCTGGCCAGGACAGAAGGGATTCACTGACCATGTTCTCTTCCAACTGAGTGTTTATAAGGCACTAAAATTAAGCAAAAAAATCAAAAACAAAAGGCAAAAATACAAAAGTTCAAATAAACAGACTCACAACAAGCAAAGCCCCAAATTAATAATTGCCTATATGAAATAGCAGCAATTTTTCCAGTAGTTGTACAAAGCCAGAGCGTTGCTATCAGGGGGCACAACCCAACAGAATACTGTTAACCAATAAAGTAACTAAAATCTATACCCACGTAACTTTTTATAATCAAAACCAGTACAAATCTGATAGGCACAAGTAAAAAAGCATTTGCTTCACACCTCAGTGCTCAGTTTTGAAATGAGACCAACTGCTGGGGAGTGTGGTTGTGTGCTGATGTGCCACGCAGCTCCGCACGGCCAGAAGGACGTGGTACCATTGCGAAGCTGCCCTACAGCTTACTGACTGGAGGCAAACGATTAATGTGACAATTCATTCAGCTTTGGCACCTCTTTCTGTCACCTCCTTACCATTTTCAGAAGTAATTTTAAATACAGCTCTAGTTTCTAGCTGGCATCACTTCAGTGTCCTCTTTTCCAGTTACTTTTCTTATGCTCGGAGCTAGGTGAACTCACCTATGTCCAAGACAGGTCCAAGACATACAAGGTAATCAGCACTTCAGATTTCTTAAAAACAATCACTTTGAGTTTTGGAAAACTGCTCTTAAAGCATACTAGGAAATACTAAACATAAGTTTATAAAGCATGAATTCATATCATTTAAATATCAACAAGAATGAGCTTATTTGGAGAGCAATAAAGCTTTTCTTTAGAAAGGATATGCTGACTAGCTATGGTAAATTCATCTTTCCCTGATTGCTTAATTAGGCTGTTCAAGCTCAGTGCCTGGCAGCCTTGCAGATTTTGTCGTACACTTCTGGAAAGGCATCCTTGCAATTCATTTGCTCCCTCAGACTGTGGTATAACGAACCATCAAACATATCCCAGAACTCCTCACGGGTCATGTAGCAATCTGCATACAGCATCTGGAAACTGAAATGAAAAATAAAAGGAAGTGAGAGATACAGCATTAATCGTCCCGCAGGGTATGAAGAAGAATTAAGAGGAAAATGGACAGGGCTAGTTCGGGAGAGCAAATATTCAACAGAAGGAAAACCACCAGAATGCTCACATGGATCATGCTGGGACCCTCAGCCAATAGACAGATGGAGCAACGTGTTCTACTTTTTAAGTTTTCTTTGGATTGCACACTGAGAATAAAACTGGGAAGGTGTGAGCCAACACAATCAGATCAGGTGAAGAATATAAACGTATCGTGTAAGTGAAGCACAGTGTAACAGAATTCCATTCACACAAATAAATGGAATCGTTACTTCATCGAACACAGAATCCTTAGAGGTGGGAGGGACCTCTGAGGGCCATCTAATCCAACTCCCCTGCAATGAACGGGTTCTAAATTGTTGCATACTCTTCCTTGCTTCCACTCTGTTCTCCCTAAAATGCAGCAAGCATCAGAAAAGAGCAGTAAAATACAAAGAGCCCCGTTGTGATTATGAAACTCTGAGATAAAGCATTTACACAGTGTTCATTTTTTCCAGTGACAGGTACAGAAAAGACAGAACTTTGTTGGCAAAAAGATTAAAATTAAAAGCTTAGTTTCAAATTAATTTTAGAAGCTTAACATTAACTTTTGGTTGCTTTGTTCTCTGGCAGATCACATCGTAACTAAAAGACTTTTATAATCTCCATAATACCTCGAAGCATACTCACCATTGTTACTCAAACACATGGGATGTAATCACTGTTAGATTGAGAAATATAGAAATGCAGCTAAATGATACTGATGGCATGAAAACACTGCATAGCTGGTTTTTGTTGGGGAGAAACAAGTCTGTAACTGCCTGCCTATTGATGCCACTACGACAAATTAGGCTGTCAGGAGTCAGTGACAGATGGTGGGGATCTATCTCACACCCACTGTGGTCTTGTGTAACCAGAATCAGAGCAACAAAAAGATGACTGCGAAAGCTCCAGCTGTAGGAAATGCTCCCAGTGCCACGCAGGGAGCAGTCAGGGCTGGCCTCCTACTGGGAGGACACACGAGCCCAAGGACAGGGCAGAGTCTGTGCCGCTGCAATGGCAGAGAGCCCAGCAGCCCCAAGGGCAGGCAGGGAAGCTGTCCAAACTTTAACAGCCTGTGGGATTCCTGAAGGACCTGTGGCCTGCTGCAGCCAAACAGCACTTGCTCTGCCCCTGCTCTGGA